ACAGACAGTCTGGCTCCAATTCATGTTCTGTGCTAACATGGCTAATAGGCGTTAGTATTTTGATTTAGAGAAGGGCTGTACTTGGTCCTGATTTGGGTGGTAACATCTGGCTTAAAGTCACACATTTTAAGGCCAAGAGGTAATTCTTTTTAGGATCTGACAATTACAGTACACATCTCTCTCTCTCTCTCTCTCTCTCTCTCTCTCTCTCTCTCTCTCTCTCCAACAAAATATCTCGGGACTAGTCACAGTGTTTTGATAGAGCAGTACACAGAATAAATTGGCAGAAATTCTGCTCGCCCCGTGTTGAACTCTGTTGTACATACTTTGAACCCTTGAGAACTCTCATGTGTATGTGATATGTATCAGAGCTTCCATAGAACCTTGCCTGTGCCTTTATTAACACACCTTCTTGCTCTGTCCAAGTTTTTGCTATCACTTCATTTTTGATACTAAACTTGACACTCACTCCAGTTAAATGGGAAAAAAAGCAGCAACTCCTGATTCATGAGGCACCCTATAAACATCTAGGAAAATGAGCAAGGAAGCACAAAACTTGGGTTCTCTCCATAAGTATGTCTCTCTCACAGATGCTTGACAAAGCAGGAACCATGACCACCGATGGCTCCTTCACAGCAGTTTGGTCTAGCCAAGGTTCCTACCAGGACAGGCTTATAATAACCTGCCAGATGTACAGACATCCTTGAATTCTTAGATCTGTGGATGCATCAGCTGGAGAAATGTGGAATGGTCATCTGCTTACTTAAAGTTAGCTGTTCCAGTGACAGCTAATTTCAGATGGGAAGAAATTCAGATTATCTGAACTTAACTTAAAATTATCTGTGGCCACTGGAGGAAAAAAAAAGTAAAATTAGGTATTTGAAAGCAAGTGTTCTCCAGTTATTCTCGAGGAACAAGATTGACTACCTCTTACATAGTTTTCCTTGGCTTGTGGCATAACTAATCCTTAGGTCAAGTGTGCCACGTTTTTGGCATTGCTGACTGAACACTTCTTTTTCAATGGGCTTGCTCTCTGGAAAACTTAGTAAAATTCAACTAGTTCACACTCTGATACAATTCAAATCTAAACTTACTCAGTTAAGAAGTGGTATTTTGCCAGAATGCTTACTAAGTGTTGGCTGCAGTAGCGTGCATGACGTGCAAACAGTACAGCTTGCAAAACAAATGACCAGCCCTACCAGAGCCACGGGCTTGCATTCCAATGGCATGTTCAAATACAGTTTTTATCATACCCTATGTTATGCTTGCTTACTAGGAGAGTCTTCATGTTAACATATATAATATAATAAAGTGC